TCACCTCCCGCCGGAGGCGCTCCACCGACGCCGCCTCAGGGTGAGCAACCCCCCCACTCAATTCAACTCAATTTCTATAGCCCCACATACCAACAGCAGGTATCTACCAGCTTTCCAAACAGAGCAGGTCAGACCGGACTCTGAATTTATTTACAGAAGAAAAACAGTTCCAACCCAGAGCAAGCACTAGGAGACACAGGGAAGAAAAAACATCCTTTTAACCCTATAATTCCATATGTTTGATTCACACGGTTTTTGAAGCCTTTTGGATCTGAGACTTTTTGCATCATTCAGTGGTAAAAGCTTTGCTCAAACCCCTGTTGTACACATTCAGATATACCTGATAACAGCCAGTAGAAGACTACACCAAAATATATTTTTGACTTATTCCATGCTAATTTGATCAAAATAATTTCAGTTTTTTTTTCTTCATATGTTGTTGAGGGGCCAAAGAAAGACTTCAGACTAAAAAAATCCAATGTTCTTCCTAATTTTCTTGGATCAGGCTTTAAAGGGTTAAGAGGCAGAAACCTGGAGCAGAACCATGGCTCAGGATACTAATGCTAATGATAGCAGCAATAATAGACTAATAGTAGACTATGAACAGTGGCTGTAATTGTAGCAGAGTAGGAACAGAGTAGACTCCCAACCACAAATCCAGACTCCACAGCTCTAGGAACATCTGTAGGAAGTGGTAGGAGGAGAGAGGAGAGGGAGGAGAAAGCTACGACTACGCTAAAGGGAGAAAGTCCAGTTAGTAACATGCCAGCCATTTGGGGTTGTCGGGGCACATTTCGGGTCAGCTTCAGTGAAATTGAACTTTTTATCGGACCAATTTTTATGTGCAAATGACTAAGGAAGCATATGACAACCACCCAACCGTTTCACCCATAAGTGTCCCATTAAGCCAAAGCATAATCTACCACCCCACTTTCTAGTCTAAGGTCTAAAGTTTAGACTCTAGAGCAATTCCAAGGGATAAATAAAGTTGAGTCTAAAGTCTAGGGTCTAAAGTTTAGACTCTCGACTTTAGACTCAACTTTATTTTTCCAGTGGAATTGCTCTTTCAAGATATTCTGATTTCATTACAGCCCGTCCAAGATCATACATAAAACAGACACATAGACGTACAGGTCCTGGAAAACTGTGGGTCAGCACCCCCTTTTTTCTTTTGTAAAAAGAGCATTTGGTCTCTTTTAATTTCAAATGAATGCACCTACAAAGCATTTTGCAGTCTTCTGCTTCCCTACAGCATTTTCTGTCCTCTACATGAGAATGTTTTCTCTTTCCTAAATTGTTCCTGTAGATAAAACCTCGATTTGACACTGAATTTTAACATATACCTCGATTTCATTCAAATCTTTTGGGGAATCCTGAGAAAAACTTGTTAGGGACGCTCTGGAAATCTCTGTGCCAACGCTCAAAGTTGTCTCCCTGTTTTCCTAAAAGAGGCCAAACAGAAGCCTGCTCTGTGAAGTCTTTGTACATCGACTTCAGGAAGGATCTGGGCTGGAAGTGGATACACGAGCCCAAAGGCTACTTTGCCAACTACTGCATGGGGTCCTGCACCTACATCTGGAATACTGAAAACAAATACTCTCAGGTAAGATATGCAGCAAGCTCTCACATGGTCTGAGAAGGCCTCAGGGGTTTTAAACAGAAGACTGAAACCAATGTGGCATCACTTTATGAGCTTTTGGGAGACAGAAATGACCAAAGATGCATTTTTATTTCACCTTTTTTTCTTTAGGGTGCTTTCACGGCACCGCGTTGTCCAGAGAAACCTGTTTTTTTCTAGATTAATTCCTGAAATCTGATGAGATAAACCTAATCAGAAGAAGAGATTATGCCTCAATCATCAAGTTTAGGATGAGAAAAGTCACCCATGTAGGACAGGCAGACGGGTGTGAGATTACTTTTGCTCATAAGGGCTTTTTAAAGGACCCCAACTTAAAGGAAAGCTGCAAAGCTGTTTTTAAAAGCCCCCCCAATTCTTAATGAAAGAAAGGGATCCATCAGTCACTTTTGTGGAGATGCTTGATCCTTTTCATCCAGTATTTCTTTAATTTATTCCTGTAAAACTAAACTGGAATAGTAAATAGATGGATGGATGAACTGCCTTCCTTCATTTTCCTGTATTTAATTTGTTTTTATGAAATGAGTGTAACATTGTGAAGCTGCAAAGGCTTCAGCTTAGTGTGGTGAGTTGAACTTTTCCTCACATTTTTACCACCTATTAGTGATAACGAACTCCTAATATTTTCCAAAAGAGCTCCGGAAAAAGAGGCAGAATGAGGCTTGCAGGTGAAAGACGTCTAAACTAAAAAAAAAATCTTTTGAGTTCATTTCATGCTATTTCTTTAAGATAAGATCATTTTTATTGATCTCACAGTGGAGAAATTCACTAGTTTAGTGATTAAAGAAGGTGCAAACAAGGAGGAAAAGGTGCATAAAGTATAAACAATAAAAATAAATAAAAACACAAGGGAGTAACAGAGATTTATGCGGTTTCCTTCAGATTTTGGCTCTGTATCAGCATCACAACCCCGGAGCGTCCGCCCAGCCCTGCTGCGTTCCCCAGGCCCTGCACTCGCTGACCATCATCTACTACGTTGGACGGCAGCACAAGGTAGGTAGAACATGGTCAGCCATGGATGGGAGCTCACTCCTTATATCTGATTCACCGTTTCCTTCTGCTTCCAGGTGGAAAACCTCTCCAACATGATAGTGTCGTCCTGCAAGTGTAGCTAAAGCTCCACCTCCGCCTCTCCTGGAAGATCACCACAGCGGAGGAGGCCTTTTTTTAAAACTACAGACAGGAGCGCATGATGGAGAAGAAGAGAAATTGTAGACGTGGTGGAAGAGAAGTTTTTTTAGGTTTCTAGGATCTCCAGCTTTCCCTCAACAGGCCCCGCCCCCACAGTAGGGCCCACACCAGCCGGGGTCCACATAGATGCTATAGATGATGCTTTTTTATGTATATACTCATCCCTACTTTAGTAAAACACCTGCTTTTTTTATTGAATTAATTTATTTGTTTGATGGACGTGTACGAAACCGTGTCGGTCTGGCCTGGAGAAAGGACCGAGAGCCAAGAAAAAAACGAGAAAAAGCACAAAAAGGACCAAAGTGATGTTGGTGGAGGAGCTTCTGGACGGGCCGTTTCTGCTGGACTCCCGGGGGGGGGGGGGTGAGTGGCCTCTGCTGGGGTTTTCCTGGACCACAGCCATGCAGGTGTTTCTCAAACTATGTCGTAAAAAGAAAGAAAGAAAAGAAAAAAGGAAAACCCCACGTGGATAGTCCGACCACCGGGAAACTCCCTCTGACTCTTCAGCCGGCCAATCATTTCAAAGGAACCATCCATCAGTTTATTTCTTCCTCCTGTCTGTGTTGTTTTTATTACAGGTCGTGCCGTTTTCCACTTTTATTGTGTTGTTCTTGAAACCTAAAGCCATATCAGAGGGCAGCATCTCCTCCTCCTGGTTCTCCATCGTTACTGGTGTCGGCCTTCTGGAAGCATTATTTTTTATCATCGTTGCGGTAAATTATTGCCTGTCATGTCAACTTCAACATTTTCTAAGCGACACATAGTTTCCGCTTGTCGTGATTTTTTATAGGGCACTTACTATTGGATGTTTTCTGTTTTGTAAATACTACCAAAGCAAAGAAATAAACCTTTTAAATTATGGCGCCGGAGTTTGGAAACTTTGTGATTGATTTCAGAGCCTGCCGTGCATGTGCTCACTTGTTATTTAGAAACCGTGAGTAGGTTGATGAGCCT